CATACAGGCCTGATTTTTTTCAGGTCTGATTTGCGCTATTGCATAAATAGCGCTATCTACTGCGAAGGATCGTGCATCATAGGTATATGTAAAGTTTACAACATTTAAGATTTTTTCCAATACACCTACCATCAACACTCAGTTTTAATTTAATTGCAGTGTCCTGGAATCCTCCCTTTTTGTAACCATTGAATTTGTGTTTAAAGACTGTCTGTGAACTCTATTTGTACTCCCTTCCACTTCCACCTCTGCAAACTTGTCTTTGTTTTTAGCTCTCTCTTTGAGAGAGAGTAGATCAGTTACCTAAGAGAACAAAATAGAGACCTTAAGTTTATAAATATGTCAAACTTAAACAAAAATATACAGATATTAATTTGCTGCTTACTTGTTGATTCCCTTTACGAATGCTGGTCTATCACCACAAGGATGTCCTTGTGTTGTTTGCTCAGTTCCATGTGAAAAAATAAACCCTCTTTAATTTTGAAATTCCTTTTAATTCATACAAAGTGCCATGCTTGAGTTGTGCGATAGCAGGCCTACTCTGGGACCTTGAGTCGCCATAACTTTGGGCAATTTTGGGCAACTCAAGGTGACCTTGGGCAACTTGAGAAAAATTGACATAACTTGAGTTGATTTAAGGCAACTCAAAGCGATTTTATTCGACTCAAATGATAAAACCTAAGTTAGCAACAGTCTTTCCATAAACTTTATAAAATATCTACAGAATCCCTTGCAATAAACACATTAGTCATTTTGGATACTTTTGAATCTACACAAGTCACCATGGTCTAAAATTCCAGATTTTAAACCATATTAGCTAAAAATTCTTCGACAGAATTACCACAACAGTTATTGTTTAATTACATGTAAATAGTGGAAGCTAGTGAATAAATAACCTGGAAAAATCACGGGTTATACCTTGAGTAATATCAAAATAAAAACCAACATTAAACAAACCTACAAAAAACATGCACATAGTGACATAAATTTTAAATTTAAAAGAGCCACGATTTACGTAAAACTATCAATACATTTTCCACACACTCATTAGTTAAAATTACTCGTGATTATCTACATGTATTAATTATTTCATAAAGCTTCACAAATTAACTTGTCTCCCATTTTTAGCACTTAATTGTACTATTTATTTTGGCATGGGAGTTTGACGAATCGCATTCCTTTCCAACTGTAATAAATGGCTTGCCGGGTCCTTCTCAGAGACCCAACCAGTGTTTGAAGTCTTTAATTCTCACGAAGGACATAAGCATATGGTGCATATGGTCCGGACACGCAGTGGGAGGATCTCACGCCCCCCAGTGGGACTGGACTTATGACGGGACCACCCTACTGAGGAGATTTTTTGTTACGTTACTATTATGGTAGATAAAAAACATGTGCTTTTCGCTTGAAGTTATTTTAGTAGTCTGAACGAAACATTTTAGTAGTCTGAACAAAACATTTTAGTAGTCGGAACAAAACATTTTAGTAGTCTGAGCAGAACATATGGTTCTCAATATAGTATTGGCGTGTTTTGACTTACTGATGCAGGAGAACATCCTTTCCAGTCTCTCCAACTACTTTTCCTGGCTGCACAGAAATTTTGACGTCCCGTTGATAGATAATCGAATCTTTTCAGAGGATCTTTTTACTACCGTTTATGGAATCACCAGAAAGTACAAAAGTTACTTTGTAACTTATTTTAGTAGATATTCATTGGTGATCTGTTCTTTATGGGGTCCTGGACTCCTTTACAGATTATCCGTATGGCTATTTATATTAGTTTTGTTATGTATTACTATTAATGCCATTAAATTGTAATAAATAAATAAAAAAAAAAACTTCCAAACACTCACTTGTTTCTTAACTCCGCAGCGTTTAACCAATAAAACAATGAAAAAAGTTTTATGCCTGGGCTGGTGACAGTATTGTAAGGTTAAAAGCGTTCATGAATACCTTTTAACTGTTCAGAAATTAACGAGTCACAATGAAAAACTATAAACTGATAAAGGTTCACTTGTTTCCGCCATGTTGATTCTCCCAGTAACCTTTGCGCCGCTAATATTAGTATCGCCCACGAAATGAAGAAAATAACCGTAGCATTGCCGAACACACAAAACACATCATTTATTTACAACGAAATATCCTTATACATTAATTAGTTCTCACGAAATATCGTACACATCAGTATTTACACACGAAATATCCTTATTAATCATTCAGTTCACACGAAATATCGTGGTAAAATATTGGCCCGGCAGCCCTGCCTGCTGTGAAAAGTTTTTCTCGGCATAGAAGATCATAGAAGGGGCTCATACATATTTGTTAATCATCAAACTGACGACGATGAAATGCACGAAAAGACCGTCAAAATCTCAAGATAGATAACTATGCCTTTAGTAGGTTCGTCGAGTTACGAAGTTCAAACGTTCAGATTTGGTCGAATACGATAGTGGAAGTGGCTAATGCATATTTGTGAGTGTAGAATTCAATTTTAAACAATTCAGATTGATTCCTATAATCCATAGCATGTTGCCCAGTTCTTGCTCAGTACCAGTTCCCAGCCAAATGATTTGCACTGATTATTATCTCCGGCCTTTTACATTTTCATTCAGCGAAATACACCGAAAGACAACTAACGATTGACAGCTTTGGCTAAAGGTTTTCCTGCCCCAGAAACTGCGACAGCTTCACAAAAGTTAGTTGTTAATTTTCTCTGCTATTACTACACACCAAAACTGCTGCGTCTAATAAGTAGCTCATTTCTGACTGAGAAATATTCCGGAGAAAAGGACGATTTTAACGGAGAGGTTAGATTTAGGATAAATTTAACCAAACACATAAAACAGTCGGGAAAATTTCGCCGGTATTTCACCAGTTAACACTTTGGCAAAGATAAACCTTTTTGATGCCATTTCCAGCCACTAAAATCTCATGATCTAAATTATTTTTCTGAGGATTGGAAAAATAAAAGTTAAAGTGATAAAAACGTTTGTGATTGGTCATGGGTTTGACATGGAGACTTTCAAACGCAATTCTGGAGATATTTTAAGACTTTTAAGCTAAAAGAGTATTTCTCTCCTTTAGATAGTCCATGGCTACCGCAGCACCACCAGTTTCATCCACAAAGGAGACAACCAACTACGCTCGTCTGTGTCGTCTGCTGGTCGATGTTGGTACCCAGGCCCTTAGGGACACATTTGATACCATTTATCCACCAGCAAATCTTCACGCAATTTTGTCGGCCACTAAAACCACCTTACAATCCCTGAGAACAAAAAAGGTTATAAACGCGACGCAATGGGGAAAGCTCTTCCCAGCCATCCCTACATCAGTGTCATCAGCCCATTTCGACATCACTCTATTAATGGTTCTCCTGCGAAACGTATGTGGCTTACCTTCTCCCGCAGCAGGCTGGGATACACTTCCTGCTGTGACAGATGTGAGTCGTGAAGCTGATGTTGCTCGTGTTAAATATTACAGAAATACTGTGTACGGTCATGCTGAGTGTGCTTCAGTTGATGATTCGATGTTCAACGCATGCTGGGGAGACATCCGGGACACTCTAGTGAGACTTGGGGGAATGAAATATAAAGCAGCCATTGACAATCTTGAAACTGAGTGCATGGACCCTGAAGCTGAGGATCACTACAAAGAAGCTCTGAGCCAATGGAAGAAAGACGAAGACAGTGTGAAAGATAAACTGGATGAGGTTATCAAAAAGCTGGATGATTTGACATCATCAAGTTTGCCTCAAAGCAAGGAATCTGCAATTGAAGGTAAGTGAAGCTTTACTTTAACTGTTTTTGCTTGTACAAAGTTTTTATATCGCAATGGTCTACTATTTATAATAAAGACCAAGAGTAAGGAGTGTCATTTATAATTTTATACCCCATTCACACCATACATTAAAAAATTACTAAAGCTGTTTTTTTCACAGGCGTCCTAAGCTCCCGTCTCCAGAAAAAACAAAAGAATAATGAATGAGTTGACAGTAATCGTATCCTTTGCGCAAAGATTACTGGAATCACCACGGGGCAAACATGGCAAGTTGCCATAAGGATATGTATGGCGAAAGGTTTTTTCGACGTTCAAATGGACGATTTTGGGCATAAATCATCACTTTTTCGCTGCATTTTTATTAGAAATGCATATAAGCAATGCTAATACTAGGGAAGCGTAAGTTTTTGTTTGAATTACCATTAAATATGAAATTTAACCCGCCGATTAACTTTTCCCCACTCATGCATGTGTAAGGTTTTTTGTGAAATTGGCGTCGCGTAATGCATGGTCTAGAAATTTAAAAAAATGAGCTTTAAATCGCCAGCGTTCACAGTTTTATTTACGTGCCTTAGTCTTCTTCTAGCTTTTGTTCTCAGCTTGGTAATACAAAAGAGCGCCACAACAGCTACCTCAAGGCAGTAGGAGATTGAGCATGATATTATCGAGAGTAGTGCGGTTGATTTATTAACAATACTTACCCCATCCCCACGGCGACACCTTGCCTTAATCCATCGTCCCAGTTAACCGTAGAACCTCTCGGTAGAGAGCTCATATTTCGGAATATTTAGCGTCGTAAATCGACCATGCAGTCAAACCTGTTTTAAGCGGCACCGTATTAAGCGGTTAGTTGTCAAAATCTCGAATTTGTTTGCCATTAGTCACTGTAAGTTTTCACCTCTATTAAACGGTCGCGGTCAGCCTTCGCTAAGTCCCTACGGCTTGTTTTTATTTTCCTCCAACTGTTTTGAACGCTCACTGAAGGTGGAACCACTCAAATGAAATTAAAAATAATCTTACAAGTACGTTTTCATCTATGTTTCTCTCCCAAAATCAAAATAGATAGTATTTTCGAACAAGATTCTGTACATGGCATAAAGTGGCGTCGTTTATCATTTTGTATATGATATCCCTAATCTGTGGAACCTGTTTTCAGCGGTCCCGCCATTCCTCGTGGGTGACAGCTTAATGCTGGTTCGACAGTATTTCGCTCCCCACACTATTCCTAACGGATAACGCGTTCAAATCTCGACGGTTCCTCGCGTAACTTAACACCGCGTTACATAACGCGTGACACTTTCATGAATTAATCTTTTGCTTCTTCTCTAGACGTGAGCTTGGGACGCCTGTATTTTGTAAAACACGGTTCAAAATTGTTAGTTTTTTCGAAGAAGCTACTTAAACCAATAATGTAGCACATTGGAAATACATGTTAGTGACCATTTGAATCCTATGGAAAATTTAGTTTCTCAATCAGTTATCTGTTTCTGATTTTCATTCAGTTAAACCGGCTTAACTTAATATGTTTTGCTAGTACAAAGTTTGCTTAGAAGTATACGTAAGTGCTGTCACAATATCATGTAATTATATTAAATGGTTTCTTTTTAAACATCAGCATCAACCTTTTTGTTCATCGGGATTTAATTCAGGTAAAAAAGGCTAACATTGCAGAAATATAGTTTTACTCGCTGGATGCATGCACCCACCCAACAAGGCACACGCAAAACCCAACAAAATGTTGACCTGTTACACATGTTAACAGTTGCATTGTTTGATCTCAGTCAGTTTTGAGCCATTGTGGTCTTTTGAACAAGTCAAATCTATCAATTAATTTCAAAAGGGTTTTTTTTAATTCTTATTTCGTTGATTTACAACCGAATTACTTTAAAATTAAAGAATATGCAGCTGAACATCCATGGTCCAATTTCTTAAGAAACAAAAAAAACCATCGGCTCTACGACACTTCAATATCACTCTAAAGCTTTGCAATAGAACAAGAAGAAAACGTTCCATAATTCGCTTAATACCTGTTTACCTTCACTTTAAATTTTTATTTGCATATTTAAAAGGTAAGTCTACTGTGCTGGAAGAGCTGTCGGATCCTGCATTGTGTAGAGAAAGAGGCCATGAGACCGAAACTCTGGATCACTATTGTAAGAACTGTAAAGTCCGCGTTTGTGATAAGTGTGGACGGACTCGTCACACTCATCACACCAAAGTGAACATCCAACAGGCTACCGAGGAAGAGAAACTGAAGATGGAAGAGATTGTAGAACAAGTGAAATTGCGAATTGTTGACCTTGAGATGCAAATGAAAACAACAACAGAACTTTTAACAATAAGTAAGGAAAAAATTACTGCTGCTCGTAAGGATGTATGGACAACAGTTGAAGAACTCATTCGTGAATTAAAGAAACATGAAAGGGCCATGGTGACCCAGTTAGACTTTATTGAAAAAGAACAGCAAAGAGATCATTCAACACAGTTAGAACACTTGCAAGCATCTGTAAACGAATTAAAAAGCTCTGTACTAACTTGTGAAGAAATCCTACACAAAAAAGTCAGCATTGAAACTTTACAAGCGCAACAGGCCGAAATTGAAAGGTGCAGAGGAATTCTACAAGCACCAAAAAAAGACATTTATAAGACATGTCAACTTCGCTATCAGATAAATGAGGAGTACCACAAGAGTTTGACAGGCTCTGCTCCTGGTGAACTTATTGTCAGTAAAACGGATCCCTTAAGGTCATGTTTAAAATGGGATGATTGGAGAAGATGGGAAGCCGGAAAAAAGCAGAGTTTTGAGGTTGAACTTAATAGTTCAGATAAGAACTTTTGGCATCGAAATATCAATAACATCGATGAGATCAAGGTGAAAGTTCATAGTCCAACCGGAGTAGACTACGAGCTCGAGTGTAATTTTGCTTTTTTAGGGTCACACTGTTTTGCTTTCAGGCCACTCTGTGATGGAGAACATGAGGTGACAGCTTCAGTTAATGATCAACCACTTCCCGGTACCCCACTTAGGCTACTTGTGGCTCCACATCAGTACAATCGCATAATTAAACATCAGCCACGTAGAAAAACGCAATTTAAAGAGCCCTGCGCTGTCGCAATAGACACAAAAACAGGTAATTGGGCAGTAGCTGATCGAAAGAAACAAAGGGTACAAATTTTTTCTTTTCTCGGTTACGATCTTAATAAGCTTGGTCAGAGTGAACCAGTGCTGAAAGAGCCCACTTCAGTTGCATTCACTCAATCTGGTGATGTCATCGTCATTTCCGCTGGTGCAATGTTTCTTTTTACTACTAATGGTAAATTTATTGAAAAGGTCAGCAACAAACACCTCAAAGACCCATTTTCAGTAACCTTTGCGAGTGATGGCCGCATGGTAGTGTGCGACTCAAGTGACAAGTCCGTGAAAGTCCTCTCCCCTGACGGGACAGAATTGTTACAGTCCTTTAGGGCTCCAGACTCCGAAGATTCCCCGTGGGAAGCTGTTTGTCACCAAGACATGTTCTTCGTGTCTTACCCCACAGCTACTTGTGTTAAAACATTTAATAAGGACGGGGACTTTCTCTATGATATTGGTAAAGAGAACAGAGGCGAAGGACGATTGAGTAAACCCCGTGGACTCGCTGTCGATGCCTTTGGCAGTTTGATTGTTTGTGACGAGGAAAACAAATCCTTAAGTTTTTTCAAACTTACTGGAACTTTTTTAAAAATGATTCGTAGCGATAGGTGGGACTGCCCTTGGTCTATTGCTGTCAGCCCAAGTACTCTATCGGCATGGTTTATTGTTGCTGATCCCAACACAAAAAGCGTCATAATCTGTGAATAACTGCAAATATCAAGCGCTCCAAACTAAAAGTTACCTTTTTGTCTTTTAAATTCTATTCAGTAAACTATCTGCCCTATCTGTTATTAAGGCTGATAGTTTCGAAAGAAACTGTTTGGGGCTGCGTCGGTGGGGGTAACGAAATAATTTGGATATATCAACAAAGTTGAAATGGTAAACTGGCCACCGTAACGATTACAAAAGCGGACGTTTCGAGCCCGGCGTGAGAGCAGAAGCAATGTAAACACACAAGAATCGAGTGACTGTATAGGTTGGCCTGTCATATCTGATAAAACTTATAAGCACTTTGTAATGCGTATTAGGTGATAGTACCAAAAATAGATTAAAAAAACTAGTCGGAGGAAATTAGCTTGTTTCCTTATGTGGAGGAAAGAGCTGCTGATTTCCAATCAAAGTACTTGAAAGGGATACCTTCCTTATCAAAAATCCCAATATTGATAAATTAACGGTTCAAACTAAGAGCGAGCATTCACGCCATGATTCAGGAACTTGTCCACATCCTCCCTTCCTCCCAAGAGCTATCTGGTTCCTAAAACGACGTGCCGACAGAATTCAATATTCGTTCTTAGGGAAGGGAAAACCAGGTTGGTAGGATTCTGGCGACTTTACCAAAGTAGAGTAGAGTAGAGTAGACATCTATATTTATAAAGGATAGCCCCTTCAGTGTAGTAAACACTGGTATCAACGGGGGTCCTTTGCAGCAGTTGCGGCTTGAGATGTGAAAGACAGGTCTGTGCTGCCCTAATTCATCTACCCACGCTTCCCTGGCGTCAACTTTCGGGAAATTTTTCATCTTGTCGTATCGTACACTCATATCGTCGTGTCGTTGAATCACCACCTTATTGTGGCACTCTGTCATCTTGTTGGAACATGGCACAACGAGATGACACGATACCACGACGAGATGATTCAACGACATGACGAAACGAGTATATGGCACTACAAGATGATAAGACAACATGGCAAGAACAATTTGTCCGAGACTTGACGCCATAGTTGTAAGTGATAGGTTAAACAATACGAAATGGACTGCATAACACAAATCGGACACTCTTAGCTTAGGAGCAACACATGTTGAGAATAAACTTTGTTGAGGCTGCTAATCAGAGAGAGAGAGAAAGAGAGCTCGAGAAAATAAAGTAATGCCCTATCCTTTTTTGCTTGGGGTAATCGGTGGACGTACCCGACTAAGATCAGTCAATTTATTTATGTGCAGGTCTGTACCATGTTTTATATGGCCAGGTCATTAAAGTATTAGGAAGTCAGTAGCGGAACGTCTTTTGCCAAAACAGCCTGAATTTTCATTTACATGCATGGCAAAAAATTAATTGTCTTAAAAAAGTAAAGCGAAGGTTACGAGTGAATCAACCTGAATACTGTGCTCCACATGTCTTTTCTTTGTGTGACAGAGCGATAATACACGCGAATAAGCTGGGTGAGCGTGACAACTGGTTGCCTGAAGATCACTACTAACTCATTATCATATTTTTTCATTGTTTATCAAGTAAGTTATTATTTCGTTACCGTTAAAGGAAAATGTAATCAACAGGAAGCGTTTGGGCATAGAGTAATCAAATTAGTTTTGCGAATAGTGATGTATCGAATCAGGTATTTTCAGGGCGTTAACCGCGTAGGGACATAACAGCATGACTGTCCAGTAAACCCACGTTTGACTGGAAATTAGTGCCCACGAATGTAGGACGTGACGGTATGCGCAAGCCTTGATTCCCACTCGGAATTATGTATCTGGGTGTAGATTTCCCAAGCTAATAAATAAAGCGCTTTTTGTAGCTTTAAGTTAGAATGGCATATAATAGATCGTGAAACGGAACGTGTACTGTTGAATCGTCGACAGTAAAGCCTGAATCAAGTAAAAGTATACAGTTCAAGATTATTGAACTAGCAAGAGCCGGAATTCTCAGTAACGCAGGAGGGAAATTCTGCAAAACTTGCCTAAAAGATGTACTTCCTTTGCGTGACAAAGAGTGATAATTTATACTATAAGGCTGGTTAACATGACAAACGGTCGCCTAAAGATCACTCCAAATTAGCCAATCAGCGGACAGATGAATAGCGTGATCCAAAACCACTGAAACCACTTGAACCAAACAGTTCTTGAACCAGCAATAAAAAACGAGGTGGAGGTTCCTTCGCCACCTCACAAGATACTTTTTGGTAATTCAGTCTTCTTGCAGTACGGCTATCGTTTGTTGATTATTTCCAAGGTCAAGCTCAGCTAGTTTCAAACTTTCTAAATCGCTGTGGCAAAATTCTTTCATCGAAGAAAAAGGACTGGAGTTTAACCAACGTTTGTCTCTCGTTCCTTTGTAGAACAAGCCGTCGCAATCAAATCAAAGCAGGAACCCCTTTGGGTGACAGAGTCACTAGACACATTTTTTGGAATGAACTAGAGGCTCCTATATTTCAGTATTTTTCTATATTTTATTGTAATAATTTTTCTACTTTTAGGATGCGACCTAGTGATCGTTTTGGAATGTAGTATATCGTGGTGTTAAACGGATATGCGCAAGTTACACCTACACAGTAAGACGTGATTTCTCAGGGTAGTTTGGAAAAGATGAAATGCAGGAACTCGGAACCAGAACCGGAATACTCGGAATGCCCAGAATACCAGGAATTCCCGGAATGACCGAAAAATAATAAATTTTTAAAAGATAAAAGTAAATTAATAAATGAATGAGAATATTGATAATTAAAAATTAATGTTGAATTCACAACTTAATATTAAATTATTATATACGATATTTTTTTCTCAGAGGATCTAAAAAAAAAACACCTACCGGCACTGTTCATGGAGATGCACGTATTAGAATTAAAAAAAGTCTGAGTCAGGCCAAGTAGCCCATACAGCCTAAGCGACGAAATATTTGTACTCTCCCTTCCCCCTGAATGGGATGCTAGTCCATCACATGGTTACTCCCCGTTTTAAACTCGCCTCCACCCATTTACACACCTGTAGGATGTCTAGGGCGCCATAGCGCCATGACCATTAGGCCGCCACGCTTTTCCAACCAGAACCATTGCAGAAGACTAAACAAATGCTATATTTCCAATTAGTTTAATAGTTCAATTATAAAAAGCTCCGAACTATTACACACATTGGAAGCTATCAAAGCAGCTACCATTAAGACCAGCTGTCTACAGTCAAATTGAGAGATCGTCAGTTACTCGACACCTTTTCGCGTTTATTCTATATACCTTGAATATATACCTTTGAATATAAACCTTGTACCGATGGATTCTTCTAAACAAGGTTTATATTTAAAGGTATATATTTAAGGTATTTATAATAATCGCGAAAAGGTGTCGAGTAACTGACGATCTCTCAATTTTAACTGTAGACGGCTGGTCTTAATGGTAGCTGCTTTGATAGCTCCCAATGTGTGGTTAATAATTATCTAAGGTAGAGTATTAGGAGTGAAACCATGTGATGGATTGGCATCCCATCCAGGGGGAAGGGAGAGTAAAAATATTTCGTCGCTCAGGCTGTATGGGTTACTGGCCTGACGTAGACTTGTTTTAAATTCTAATACGTGCATCTCCAGGAACAGTGCCGGTAAGTGTTTATTTTTTGGGACCCTCAGAGAAAAATTTCGTTTTAAATTGCTTAATTAAGTTGTGAAATTACCATCAATTTTTAATCATCAATATTCCTATTTGTTTATTAATTTACTTTTATTTTTTTTTAAATTATTGTTTTTTGGTCATTCCTGGAATTCCGGGTATTCCGGTTCCGGTTCCGAATTCTTCCATTTTCCATACCATTTCTCAGGCGCCGATTTAACTAATTTCCTTTCGACAAAATTATCTTGTTTGTTTTGATATAATTATCACATTTCGATAGCGAAATAAGTACAGGACGTCCTTACCACGCGCTGCAATTCGGAAAGGCGAGGTTTAGGCAACGAGTTGTAGAATCTTAAGAATGTTGTTCTACGCTTGTTCGTTTCACATAAATAGAGGCTGTTTTAGTTAGTTCTTCAGTTGATTATTTTGAGTTACATTGGATCACTTGTAAGAAGACGAAGACTTTCTCTGTTCGAGGGTTACTGTATTCTGCTAGTTATTCCCGTTCATTTATTTATTTATTCATTTATTTATTTGTTTATTATTTTTCCGCTTGTCTTTATTATTATCGTTGCTTAGGTTCAGTTTGGCTTCAATAAATTATTTTAGAGGTATATTCCTTGAATTCTTCTCGTTCTCTCGCGACCGCTCGTTCCGTCTTGTTACACTTTGTTAACAGTCAGGCGAGTTTCGAATTCACCGAATCTGGGGTTTGAGTGCTCATAGGACAGTTTTTATTTGTAGGTTTGTTATATTTTTTTTATGTTCTCAGATTTTATTTTCGAAACACTGTCTTACATCCTCAAATCAAGCGTCATAATGATGTCGTGAAATGACTTATATTGGGCGCCATGTTGCTTAATATAATTGCATAAGATCAAAGTATTTCCATTAACTTCTTCTTCCTCACCTACCCTCGAAGCCCCGTATATTTCTATGGTGCTGGTGTCCATGGTCGTTCTGTCTTCTTCATTTTTAGGGATTCGAATTTACCCTGTCGTCTATAATATGGCATACAATCAAACTCTCAGTTTGCATTTTGAACATAAATCCAATCAAGTTCGATCAACTTCATGAGGCTAAAACACCTTGATCAGATGAGTACTATCCTTCAAGCTCTTTCTCTTCCCTAACCCTCGAAGTCCTGAGTATCTTTGTAGGGGTAAAGTCTATAGTCGCTTGATTTCTAGTGATATTTTGGGATTCGAATTAAATCTCTCTGCTATAATCCAGCAGTTTTTATGTCGTGTTTATGACCTCCCTTCGCATAATTTCCCGGGGAAAGTATCACGCACAACGAAAAAGGATTTTTCTTTTCTGACAAGAGCTCATTTTTCATAGAAGAGTTTTCATAGACGAACACAGTAACTCTCTCCTTTTTTATCTGTGTTATTAAGTCATATTGGGTACACGAAATGATATTTTAGAGAAAAAAAAAGTTATTAAACAATGTTTTTTTCGAACATCAAATATATTTTCGTTTGTGATACGATGCGTCTCTTTTCGCACTACTTACGTTCTCTTCTCCCTCCGAGGACGATGTATGATGTTTCTTCTAACACCAACATAGGAAAACTCTTATGATCTTCTAGACGAGATATGGGTTAATTTTATCGTTTGACGGTTCTAGCATACCTTAATTACCGGATAATTTTAAAATTCTCCGACTGATGACTAAGATTTAAACGTTTTTGAATAACGTGTTGTTAATGTTTCCTCTGAAAGGCAAATCATATTTTCTGCTTATGTAAGGTTAACTGCTCGACGAAACTTAAAGGAAATTCGAATCATCAGGCTGCCCCTGTAAACCCAACCAAAGCGCCTAAATCTTTCCAGACACTGTCGAAGTAAATGTTTTCGAATTTCTGTCGGGTTTTATCCTCATCATTCTACTGTAGTTAACGCCAGTATTCAGTACTTAAATTATCTATAGTCTCAATATTTCGTTTCTAGAGACATTGTCGCACCTCTGCGAATTTGTGGGGGGGAGGGGGTTCTTTCTAAAATCGTATAATATATCACTTCTGTGTTTGCAGTACACCCTAAAAGATACTGTAAATAGAAGAAAGATTGGGCGAGTGCATACAATGGACTCTGATAGTGGAAAAAAACTTCTCAGCGAAAAGAAGGTAGCGGAAGACAACGTCAAAGATAAACAGGGTGAGGTTATTTAAAAGGTTGAGGGTGAAATTTCAATATAATTTAAGGCTAGTTTCGTTGTTGTTGTTGTTGTTGTTGTTTCTAACTTGGGATTAATTTTTTTTTTCTTTTTCGAAGATTTATACGTCGAGTTAGTCATTTCTTTGGCAACTCCGAGACAAAAGAAGGCAATCATCGTGGGGAAAAAAATTCTGAAAAAACCCAAGTTGAACTCATTTACAACAAGTCAAAATGAATAAAATTGGATTCTTAAGAGACATACACCACACGCTCTCCATCAAAAATTCCCAGGTCCGCACCTGCTTAAGAACGTCATGGAACATGAACATCTATAAATGTCTGGAAGGCAGAGAGGGTTTGGTCCAGCAATTTGCCCATTGCACATAGGATGGATAAAATGAGATTCAGAAGGATTTATTCACTCAAACAATATTTTGTAGAACAGAGGCTAAGGGTACCATGCAGATAGGTAAATCAAAAAGGGTCAAAATATTCCTACCGGCTAGAGACAAACCTTTTAGTAATTTACAAGCGTAGCTGTCTACCCGAACCATTAAAACGAAAACAACTGCGAAAACAACTGTTTTTTTAGCTGTGCATGGAATCAAAGTTATACCATTTTGCAATCAAAATGAATACTCCCTACAGCTGTCTCTGTATCATGGTCTACATATATGCTGTAGATGCTCTTTGGCTCCTATATTTAGTCAATCTTAAGGCTTTAACTCAAATACAATAGCATTGATTTTTTGGTTGCTTCTGCGAGAGCAGATTAGGTAACAGTACAAAACAAATCAGCGAACATAATGCTGCCTTGCATTGATTTATTATTCTCCGTTATTTTAAGGTAGAAATGATGTGATGAGATTAACAGTTCCTGTAAGAGATGGCATAGTTCTGGCCCAATTCAGACAGGAGCATAATCTGGCTGTCAGTAATCATGTGTTTCCTCTCAGCGACTCTGTTTATCAGACGCTGATGATGAGATTAGGCTTTATCATCAGTTTTTTTTTTCTCTCCCTTTCGAGCATAAATCACTTTGAGGTATAAACCGGGAGGGGGGGGGATTCCCAGATGAAACAGACGGGGATGCTCGTCGTCTCGCTTAGGGGTGTAAAACTTTGGATTTTGGTCTTGCTTAGGGTGTTCCAGGCAAAGCGCCAATATTTTAAGCCGCCAAGGTCTCGTTTAGGGTTCCGCGAAGAAATACAGAATTACGCGAAGAGAAACAGAAGTAAAATTTTCTTTTGAACTTGTATTGTTTACCGTATTACCTCAACATTAACTAGTTTCCTATTTTACCAAGTGCTAAAGGGACAATGCATGAACATGAGCGGTCTCTTTTAGGGGTCAAAATTTGCTTACGCCACGCCCAGATGGTCTCCTTTAGGGTTTTTTTAAAATTTCCGACGAGCATCCCCATCTGTTTCATATGGGAGTCCCCCCCCCCCCGGGGGATGTAACCAGTTGGTTGATTCTTTGTTGAATTCTGAGACATTATGCTTTTGGATGATTGAAGTTTTCTACGACTAAGGGTTGTCAAATTAAGCCGGCAACCTGAACATTTCACTTTATATTCTGAAAAACAAAACGTGCTGGCTATTCCAATGACTTGTTGGTACAGAAGGCGGCAAACGTATCAAACCATTAGAGATTTCTTTAATCTTCATTGTGCTTGATTAGAAGATTCTGAAGAATGAATCTCTGTGGCTTGGGAGAACTAATACGATGGAGCTTAATTCAATGTTCGCCATACTAACGCTGATCGCAATTGAAATCAAAACCTAAAAACTAGTCCTAAAACGAAGTATTCATGAACTGTCAAAGAAAGGAAAACGAACTATTCATGAGTTGTCAAAAAAAAGAAACCGCAATCGCTTAGCTGTTTAAAACCACAGGGAAGCATAGAAAAATATTCACACCTTGTTCAAAGTCACGCAACGAAACTAGAACTGTTCCTAACACTTGTGGCAGAACATTGTGCAGCCTACTATATATCTATATCTATATATATATATAGGAAGTCGTTAGTGGAACTCTCAGGCCAACAAAGGTGCACCGCGCCATGAGGATCGATAAAGATTCGCAGTCCAAACCTCACAGCAAACACGAACGTAGAAAGTTAAAAAATTGCGAGGACAGACAACTTCTGACGTAAAAAATATGAAAAATTTTTTAATAAAAAACGTTTCGGTCACAGACCTTCAGTTATTTACCTAGGCAGGTAAAATAACTGAAGAAGTAAATAACTGAAGAAGGTCTCTGACCGAAACGTTTTTTATCAAAAAATTTTTCATTGTTTCTACGTCAGAAGTTGTCCATCCTCGCAATTTTTAAACTTTCTATAAAGATATAGTCGTTAGTGGAACTCGCAGGCCAACAAAGGTGCACCGCGCCAGGAGGATCGATAAAGATTCGCAGTCCAAACCTCACAGCAAACACGAACGTAGAAAGTTTAAAAAATTGCGAGGATAGACAACTTCTGACGTAAAAAATATAAAAAATTTTAATAAAAAACGTTTCGGTCAGAGACCTTCAGTTATTTACAACTGTTGAAATAAAAAAAGAGCATTAAATAGGATCGAAGTGCTAATGATTATGTAATTACAGATAACGACTAATGAACTGGTGCTAATAACAAGATAACAAAAAACCTAATTACAAAGAAAGCAATGGACAAAATACAAGAAACAAACCCTAAAAACTAAGAGATAAGAATACTAAATATGTTAATATGAGTGGCGTAACCAATTGCAAAGAAGCAATGCGGCAAGCATTAAAAAAGGGAAGGCCCACTTTTAACTACAACTGTAAACCGTAACAAAATCCCAAAACAAGGCCTTTGGAGCCCGAAAGGGCAAATTAGCAACAAAATCCCTGGAGGGGCCCTTAAATGATACTAATCATAATAAGATCCCTTGGCAGGGCCTCTGAGTCCAATCCACACCTAAAGGGCCGACAAAATCCAAGAAAAGGGCCTTTGAACGATCAATTAGTAGCGCCTAATATAAGATGGAAAATTAATTATAGCAAATTCTATTTTTCGAATGAAATTCCTTTCTTTTATTCAAACCATGGGGTGCCAAAGAGAACAACTGAGCACTCCAATAAGCCTCTTTTGTGATTAAAAGCCTATCGATCTCTNGGGGGGGCGCTCATTTGAAGGGGGGCACTTAGGAAGCGGGGCGCTTATTTGAGGCTGGGCGCTAATTCGAGCATTTACGGTATATATATATATACATATAGATATTATCCAACTACACTCTGTAGAGCACAAAAAACGCCATAGACGAGTATAAATATCACGCGGTATTTGTACTCCAGAGAACCGGTTAGACAGCTTTTCTCGCATCGCGCGAGCGAAGAGTTGGATTGAAGTTAGGAAAAAAATGGCGGGCAATTTGAATCATATATCTAGCGAAGAAGAGTCGGAATGGTTGGCAAATATAGATCCGAGTTTATTAGATGAATCGAACGAAGAAAAACAGCTAGACGACCAGGAAATTTCTTCATTTATCGAAGAAAATAGAAACTTAACAGCAACACGACAACGCGCCAATTCTGTTCCGCCTCGCATACTTCTGTCAGGCACCCCTCGCAATAAATATCCGCGAAATTCGCCCGCACTGAAATAACAATAGCCAACGAGGTGCGTAGCACCGAGTTCGCTATAATCATCTCGTATCCAACAAGCGCGAGTGGAATAATTGTTTTATTAAAAAAACGCCTCTAAGATATTAGACAAATGTTCTCGACTTTATTTTGTAAGAAGAAACCGGTTGTTACAATGTACAGATATTAGATTATAGTATATTGGCTCATACACCATAATGGCTAAGCCAATAAAAAGTCTTGAATTGCATTATCCAATGAAAAAACCTCTATATTTGAAGAATGTTTGTACGCCTGGAAGGACCACAATACAGATATCAGTTACAGCTTGCTGCTGTGTGAGTAACATCAGAATTAACATTGTGAATTATTCTTTTTCAATACTGTATATCTTCAACATTCTTTGACTACATTAATAAACGTTGCCTACTTAATTATCGTTAATGAAACTTATGTTGGTGTTTTTTCCCTTTTAATCCCACGTCTTCGTCTTTCAGTTGGTCCACAGACCCTCAGTCAGCTCCGTTTTACAGAGCTTGTTACGTAAAAGACTTCTTCCGGCAGAACAAAAAGTGAGTACTGCAAACACTAGCTGTTGCACCTGACTTTCCCTGTTTAAGTCTAAATTGCAAACATTACTCTTAAGTTGAATCCTTTCTTACTCTTCCTTACTTTTCTCAAATTGCTTAAGTATATGTTTGTTTGAGTGCCTGCTATTGTTCTCAATGTTTTATGTGTGGGTATGTTCTATCCCTTTTAACCTAATACATTTTGTACCTAAATCACGCCAAAAAACTGATACCTCGCTTTTGTAAAATATGAGGAGCCTGTAGCTCAGTCGCATAAGCCTCTTGTTTTTCCTACGGGTTTCCTCGTCACATGCTAAATCTTCAGTTATATCATATCAATGTACATGTAATTCCTTTTATTTCTACTACTGTATTATAAATTACGAAATGGCAGATAAACAAATAAATAAAAATAAATAATTAAAAATAATAAAAAAATAAAATGTCTGCTTTGTAGAGCTGATAACTGTTTTCCGGAGCTGGAAGACTTGCATCAAGTTTTGAATTCTCAGTCAAGTAGCACAGTCGTATTAATTTCTGATTCAAATATCATTTTCTTTAATCCACAGAGTTAAAAGAAATTTCCCGTTAAGTTCATGTACTGCTGGCGGTACAGATGACAGCGTGGAACAAAAAGCTATCAAAGTATCACTTACATGTTCCATCACATTCAGAAGAATAACGTTACCAGTCAGAGGCCATGATTGTAAACATATTCAGATATACACTTTGCATGATGCTAGGCTAAGCTTGATCCCGAAAACCATCTGATTACAAATGTTGTTCAAGGCAGATCGAATTACCAGAAAATGGTTCAGTGCTGATACAGAGGAATTTATGCGGGCATATCAGATGTAACACCGAATCATTACAAACACCTTCAAACCAAAGCAAAATTGATGTTAGAAGTGATGGTTACTAGTTTCTAAGAGTTGGGATGTCTGACAGTGACTTCCCATGAAGTTATTTGATAGAATGTTATCCAGTTTACTGAATACGAAACTCCGATTTGTTGTTTCTGTATTGCTTCGACTTAGAATCTTACTTAGATCTCAACTCCAAAAGAGAGAGTTGGAAATGTCCGGTGTGTAGGTGAGTACTTCAGAATTTATTTTTGTTGTTGTCGTGTACGAGTGGTTTCCTTGAGGTTATAGCTCCGGAGAAGACGAAAGGCAGTGTCAAGAGCATTTTAATAGCTTGATGTTTTTCTTTCATCTTTGAATTTCCTACTGTCTTGGTGAATTCAACTTTAACTAAACACAACTATTTCATTTTACAGCGAAACTGCACCTGTTGTGGGACTTGAAGTGGATCCGTTCATTTGGTGCATCCTTACAACCTCCGGGTGGTTGCTATAGTTACCATTTTTCTAAACATAGATTGAAGATTTGCACAGTTTTTACACAGACTTTACTGGAATTCGAACCATATGGGTTTACTAAATGGAAGAATATTATTTATCGTTTTGAAGAATTTGAATCAAAATCCCCTAGGCACCAATGGGTATTGATACAATTCCACATTAACCGTCGCGCTCGCCACTACACCTTACCCATAGCTGATTATGTCAGGCCCAAAGGCACCCGTCTTACTCGTCATAGCTCTGATTAAGACGCACTAATTCCTAAGTGCCGTACAAAGCTTTTTCAATTTAGTTACTTTAATCGTGTCGCTAAACTCTGGAATACCTTACCTGTATCCACTCGTATTATTAGTTCTCTCAATCAGTTTAAATCTCACGTACTCCAACGCTATTCGGCTGCTTTTCGTACAAACTATGACGTCACTAACTTCAACACCTGGAAGTCGATCTGCTGCAAATGCAGTAGGTCACGTGATCTTCTATTAGTTGGTAACTGCTGCTATTAGGACTTTCTATCGGCCGCATGAGGGATTTATTCCTATCGTTTTCGTTTTT